TTGTTTCCGCAATATTTAAAATTTTGATATTTTTAGGTCAAACCGTTCTTGTCTGTCAGTCATATAATGGAGGTCTATGGTCACCACCTCAAAGAGCACGCACAGAGAAGTCCAGATTAAACATGATTTAATGACTCGTAAATGTAAGTACACATTGATGGACTAAGACACTAAACGAGCGGTTTGTGTGAGAAAACAAACAGTATTTATAGCGTTTTACCTCTTGTAATCACAGCCAGATGTTCAGATCTCTTGCGCGGTTGCGAAAAAAAAATCTTGCGCAGACCGAAGCGCCCATGCCCTCAGATCACAAGTGGTTACAAGAGGTAAAAACGATATAAATACTGTTCGTTTTCTCACACAAACCGCTCGTTTCGTGTCTTAGGCCATCAATGTGTACTTACATTCACGAGTCATTAAATCATGTTTAATTTGGACTTCTCTGTGCATGCTCTTTGAGGTGGTGACCATAGACCTCCATTATATGACTGATAGACAAATGGTTTGACCTAAAAATATCAAAATTGAAAATACTGCGGAAACAAAGACACCTACATCTTGGATGCCCTTGAGGTAAGCTAAAACATACCAAAAATTAATTTCAAAGTGAACTATCCCTTTAAGCAAAGGTCTTAATTCAAGAAACTGAATGGCAATGCATTGCTAACGGAGATGGTTGACCCAGAGTGTCGGCTGGTGAAGAAGTAAGGCTGGTTTCAAGCATTCCACTCAAGTATTGCCTTTCAATGTCACTCTTCATTTAGCTCTCCACGACTCTTGAATAGCGTGTACAAATTCAGCCGTCTTCAGTGCTTTTGGAGTGGCGGCACTATCAGATTCTCTCTGTGTGGAAAGCACTGTGTACTTGAGATGCCCTCTAGCTCAAAATAAAGACATGTTGTATGTATTCTTGCGAGAGAAATATTCATTCTACCTCTCTTAATTGACTGTGCTGTTAGTCGCAGAGGGAAACAGTGTCACAGTCAGCTGTGAGTTTAAAGGCATCATAAATCATCAAGCCTTATGTGAAAAGATTTATGATCCTCACCACTGCTGCTTTCCTTTTTTACACCATGCAGGACTTAACATAATACAGGTATATAGTAACTAACTTAAAAGATGCTCAAGCCTCCATTATTAAATTGAAATTGTCACATTAAAGTGTGCAATGACTTGGGCTGTAGTTAAAAGTAACAAGGAAGCGGCACAATCTTGTGATATTGGTTTTATACAGTCCAATGAACAAGACTTTAATATTCAGTAACTTACAATATTTGTTTGTTTGAACAGAAATTTTTTTCAAACAAACCCGTTGCAACATCAATCAACACACCGGTGGCATTTAGTTTTGTCTAAATGAGTCAGCGTTTTGAGCAAATCAATTGAATGAATGATTCAGTGACTCATAAAGGCGCTTGCTGTGTCCCAATTCGCCATAAAGTACGTACTCTTTGTGTGAAGAAAAAGTACATAATTTAGGGTGTGTTGCAGAAGAGTAGACAAGCTTTGGGACAAACTTTCACGTCATAAAATGCATGTTTACGCACATCTGTATTGGAGAGAAAAAAAGCATTAACAAATCTTCCTGTTGTGGGTCTTTCATGTGGAAAATTCTCCTCACATTAATGCATAATGAGGTATTTAAAAGTTAAAGGAGTAGTTCACTTTTCAAAAAACTTTTGCTGATAATTTACTCACCCCCATGTCATCCAAGATGTCCACGTCTTTCTTTCTTCAGTCGAAAAGAAATTAAGGTTTTTGATGAAAACATTCCAGGATTTTTCTCCATATAATGGACTTCATTGGGAACCAAACAGTTCAAGGTCCAAAAGACAGTTTCAGTGCAAACTGTTCAAAGGGCTTTAAACGATTCCAGACGATGAATAAGGTTCTTATCAAGCGAAACGATCGCTCATTTAATAATTAAATAACAAAGTTTAAGTTTTATAAGCTCAAATGGTCGCCTTGCTCTGTTCTGTGACGCACGTTTGTGACTCTTTGTTCATTAAAATGAACGAATCTTTTTCCGAGTCATTTGGTTCATTCAATAAACGAAACGAATGAATTGACTCGGAAAAGATTCATTTTGATGAACTAGTTATAACAGGAGAGTCACAAACGTGCGTCACAGAACAGAGCAAGGCGACCATTTGAGCTTATAAAACTTAAACTTTGTTATTTATTTATTAAATGAGCGATCGTTTCGCTTGATAAGACCCTTATTCATCGTCTGGAATCGTTTAAAGCCCTTTGAACAGTTTGCACTGAAACTGTCTTTTGGCCCTTGAACCGTTTGGTACCCATTGAAGTCCATTATATGGAGAAAAATCCTGGAATGTTTTCATCAAAAACCTTCATTTCTTTTCGACTGAAGAAAGAAAGACATGGACATCTTGGATGACACGGATTTTTTTTGTTTAAAGTGAACTACTCCTTTAATCCCACAAACCATCAAGCTCACTTTCTGCTTTATAATGACTACTTATCGCTCCCCAATTAATCCTCAATGATGTTTTAATATCCAGAAATGCGTCACATCACAGAAGTAAAATGTATCGCTAACGGCGCCTCATCCAGCTCTATTAGCATACGCCGCGCTAGCTCTTCTCATAACAACGCTCTGTGATTTACTGTTGTCATAAAGAGACCCAGGGCCAATTAGGTTTGTCTAGGTCATGTTCATGGATGGGTAATTTGCCAATGCACCTCTAAAGGCTGACTGGATGTCTTTTTCTGTCCTCCGTGACTCAGTCGAGCCTCAAAGTTAATTTGAGGTCAATCGTATCCTCAGATATCAGACTCGATCCAAGTCCGCTGGCACGTGAACAGCCACAGCTGGGGTTTGATCTGCTCGTGCCAAACCTGCGTCCGGTTACTACTGAGAAAGCGAGTAATCTTCCTTAATCAATGCTTATGTCTTCAGGATATCACCTCCGTGAGGCCGCAGTGGCCCTACTTGAGTCGTTTACATGACATTTTTTAATCTGATCATCAGTCTAGGACTCACATCGGTTTGCTTACGTTCCTATTAAGTTATCAAATTGTTATTTCTCTATGCTCCCTGAATGTTCAAAAAGTAAATTTTTTTGTGTTTTAAAAATGATTTTTTTTTATGTTAAGGGAACATTTACGTTTTATAATTTTGCAAACATTATGGGAAAGTTACTTTTGAATGTTCTTAAGCGTGTAGTAATGTTTAATAAATGATGAACATCCAACAGAAAAATCATTCCACGAAGGACGTAATATACAAGACTAGAAAATAACTCTGAATTAACTATCTTTTTGCTCTAAAATGTTTAATTTTAAAGATGATGCGTGTCATCGTCCATGTGTTGTTTTTTAACCCCTAAACTATCACGTCCGACAGGTGGGACGCTTGCCACTATATTTTTAAAACAATAATATCTTAGAAAAGACCTTAAGCAATATTGACAAACTATATATCATTTGAAAGCTTACAATGTCTAGTTTCCATATTTGGTGACTGATGTTCAAAATAAATTACACAGGAGCTGTAATTTATCAATTTGCAACAAGAATATTTTCATACTCATAAAGCGTGTTCAGACCTTTATTTCGAAATAGCAATGAACATGAAAAATCGTGAAAAAAAAAGCCAAGAGTTCAAAAGATTGCATCCATTCAATTATTTTAGAAAATAGTCTGAAAAGAAGTCTGAAAATGTTTTAAATATTAAGAAAAAAATAATAAATTCACCAATTTGTGATGTGGCAGGAAGCCATAACGCACATGCGTGTTGTTTGTGTTTCTTAGAGGGTGAATTCATATCAAAATCTGCCAAACTTCCCATACTACTTCTGAGTAGGATCTCTACTTCATAAATTGTATAAAAAAATGTGTAAATGTAACACAGTCTCATCCCAAAAAGTCATATAACTGACGTCTTGGGACGTCTTTTGACCATACGTCAATATCCGCCTTTTTAGGGCCCCCTGAAACGTCGGTAGATGGCGATCCCGGGCCGTCATACAACTGACGCTTTACCTTTAACGTCAGTTAGGTGACGGGTTAGGTTTAGGGTTAAGTTTAGGTCTGGGGTAGAGTTAGGATCCCATAACCTCATCTACCGACGTTTAAGGGTACCCTAAAAAGGCGAATATTGACGTATGGTCAAAAGACGTCCCAAAACGTCAGTTATATGACGTCTTGGGATGAGACCGGGTTGGTAAATGATGGTTCATATCACTCAAAACACATATGGAAATGGAGGCGCCCTTATATGGGCACTAATGGAGTCTGCTTGTGCCCTAGTGGAAGCGTTCGGTACTGCGCCCAAAACAAAATGTCACAGAAAGCTAATTTTTATAATCTCAACCTAAAATTTAAATTTTTTGGCTTTGATTTTTTTGCAGTGTTAGAGTAGTGAAGGTTTTGAAAATATGTATTTTATATAAAATATGAATAATTAATTTCCATAAACTCAAACTTCTATAACGTTCCACTTTCTTAATTTGTTTCACTTCTACAAAAACGTCTATATTCCAAAATATTCTTGAATTACAACTATTTAAGTTCGAAATGTGCATTTCCATGTCTATTCAAAAAAAAAAGGGGGGGGGGGGGGGTGACGGTTAACAGGTTGATGTGCTTTAATACAAACCATGTGTAAATTCTGTAACGTCTGAGACGTCTGAGGTCACAAACATGTAACCAATCCCGTCAATGTGGGGGCAGGGTAGCACTCATGTGATTGAGTGGAGGAAGAGACTCATTTGCATATTTATGAATCTACGTATACTAAATGAAGCAAGGCTGTAATTGCAATTCAAGCTATTTTAAGACACGAAGAAATTATTTTCACCGGACAAAACGTTTAAATGTGTCATTTTGGTGATCAGAGATGAGTTTTAAAGAACACAGTGATTGACTACAGGGGGACTTTAACATGAAAACGCTGTGATTCGTGTTCATATCAGCTTGAAGCCTTTGACACACATGTAACTGAGACTCATTTCTCTTGTGTTGCTGTGTTTTAGGACAGCAGATGATTCAGCGACAGTGGGCACAGTGGTGCTGAGCCGGATGAAGATGGGTGAGATCGAGGATGGCGAGGTGGACCACATTACCGCCGACATGCACCAGAAGGTAAGCTTAGGTGGCCAGTACATGTCTTAAACTAGCTACTAACTCAACAACAAAAGCTTTTAAAGAGTAAATAAGCCTTATGGACACAGATATGCCATTTTATTGTGGTCACAACATTCACACACAGATCAAATTATGATTATTGATTTATTATTGTTTTTTGACGTGAAATGTTGTTTGTCACTACGTTAACAATGTCTACTACGTTTTCAAGAGATTCGCTCAACTGCTGTTGAACGACAGTTAATTAAAAGCGGCTTGTGTCGTGTCAATTTTTGTGTGTATGTGCACGCAGTTTATAAGGGGTGGTAATAGAAAATCACCTCTCAAGATTTGTCTCCAGTCAAAGAGGGAAAGCAGAGTGAATATTGAGTGTGGCATCCCTGAAATTCAATTGCACAGTTGACTGAAGAAGTAAAGCATCCATTTGGAGAGTGTTTACAGGTTATTTATGAGGGTTTATATATATATAGGATATTTTTCAGCTCTGCAGTACATCTTGAACCTGTTGGCGATGTCATTTCCTGGAGGATGATGCCATCAAGTTCACTTAATTGTGCTATTCTGATCAAAGAAAACAACATGGTTCACATCGTCTAAACTAGTTAGTTGAATATCCAGTATATTTAGACATATGTGATGGGCCATAAATGAGCCATATGTGTGTGTGTCATGGAGAACTGAGCATTACTACGCTGACAGACAGCGTGACACCCTTCATGTCCCCTAAACTCGATAACTTACACTGACACGACCATCAGCAAAACCCTTTAACCTTCATTAACCAGCATGAAATAGACCGACAGAATATAGGGAAGAAAAGCAGAATTATGGAGATGGATGTAGGACATGGGAAGGGAAATGGAGGGTATTTAGTCTGTGGCTTTAAGATTTAAATCGAGAATGCCTCATAAATTACAGTTACTGTTCCTGAATTTGAGTTGAGGTAGCAAAGAAGATTCAGAATTGATATTTGAATGTAGGAAAGTTTATTTTAATTAATGTACTGGTCATTTTCAACTTAAGATTGTCTGGATGGATGGATGGATGGATGGATGGATGGATGGATGGATGGATGGATGGATGGATATTTACATAGATAGATAGATAGATAGATAGATAGATAGATAGATAGATAGATAGATAGATAGATAGATAGATAGATAGATAGATAGATAGATACATAGATACATAGATACATACATAGATATTTACACAGATAGACGGACAGACGGACGGATGGATAGATAGATAGATAGATAGATAGATAGATAGATAGATAGATAGATAGATAGATAGATAGATAGATAGATAGATAGATAGATAGATAGATATTTATTTACATAGATAGACAGTCAGACAGACAGACAGACAGACAGACAGACAGACAGACAGACAGACAGACAGATAGATAGATAGATAGATAGATAGATAGATAGATAGATAGATAGATAGATAGATAGATAGATAGATAGATAGATAGATACATACATACATACATACATAGATACATACATAGTTACATACATAGATATTTACACAGATGGACGGACGGACGGACGGACGGACAGACAGACAGACAGACAGATAGATAGATACATAGATACATACATAGAAACATACATACTGTAGATACATACATAGATACATAGATATTTACACAGATAGATGGACGGACGGACGGACGGACGGACGGACGGACGGATGGACGGATGGATAGATAGATAGATAGATAGATAGATAGATAGATAGATAGATAGATAGATAGATAGATAGATAGATACATAGATAGATAGATACATACATAGATAGATACATACATAGATACATAGATACATTGATATTTACACAGATAGATAGACAGACAGACAGACGGATGGATGGATAGATAGACTGACAGACCCACCCACTGATATATATATTCATTGAAGTTGTAAGATTAATTGGACAATAAGGCGTTTTCGTGCTGTCCTGTAACATGTGTCTGTCTGTGTATTGACTCGGAGCCGTTGTGCTCTTATTTGATCTGTGTGCTTCAGAAGTGATTCACTTTGTTCTTCATGAGGGAATGTGGGTCAGGGCTGATGTATATTTGAGGAGGATCTGCCACAGAGCATGACTCTTCATAAAACATGGACTGATCGCGACTCTTGTTTTTTGTTGTTGTTGTTTTTTTTTAAGCTGTATGCCAAGAGCAGTCTGGAAACCCTCACAAGACCCATCCAAGGTCACGAGACCTAATGAGACGTGAAGACTCATCCGTCATCACACTAAACCCTGATGAGGGGGTATGCATTTCAAGTGATTAGGTCATAAGCGCTGTGGGTGATGTTGATGGAGGATCGTGTTTGTCGTGAGGGTCTCTCGTCTCCCGTATTGCTTACATTGGCACTCTGGGAAACTCAGAGAACGCCTCTATTATCTGAGCAGTGGTGCAGGTGACAGCTTGTCACTGTTCCTTCGGCTCATGAGACGGGGTAGCTGGCTCGTATTTAGAGTAGTAGTCATTATGGTGACATCTAATAATCAGTGATAAATGACCTTCAATCTTGTTTTTTTTTTCCCACAGTGCACGCTGGTGTACGAGTCGTCGCATGGAACCATTAATGACAAGGATAACGGACCAATAATGAATTCTGGTGAGTTAAAAAATGCTTTGGCTTCTGTGGTTTAAGGGTTATAATACCTGAAGATAAAGACTGCAGAGTTATCTGCTACCGTTCCCATTCAACTCTCGGTTTCGTTGCCAGATTGTTTTAAATCAATCACTTGATTGCATCACAAAAACACACAGAATCCCAAACTCTTTTGCTAGCATCTTTTTAAGAGTCTCCGTCAGTGTCCGTTTGATTTTTCTTTTATTAGTTTAAAAATTAAACATTTTACAGACTCTAAACATTTTGTGTTTTCACAGCGATGCCATAGAGGAACCATTTTGGAACAGTTCTTAAAAACAACAACATTTTGATAACCTTTTTCCAGGTTCAATTGATGTTAAAGGTTTTCATGGAATTTTTAACCCTAAAACCGTATTCTGGACAAATGTGGGCAAAATAGTTTTGATTTATTTTTTTAAAAATACTTCCCTTGATCTGAGCGGTACAAGACTTGGCTACTTTTCCTAAGTTTGCTTCCTGAACACACACATTTTTTTTTTTTGACTCAATTCTACAATGTTAAGTGGGTGAAAAAAACTCATTAATCTTGTATTTGGGTCAAAAATGGCCACCCATAGAAATGAATGGGAAAAACTAATTTAGAGCACTCTAAATAAGACACCAGGTGACAGCAAAGTCACTTCATCTTTAGGTTTTAGCTCTAAGAACTTATTGGAATGATATTTTAATGTAGTCAAAAAAATAAAACTACGTAGTAATTCGTTTACATAGAAATAATTTACATAGAAAATATGGTACTTCTTGAAGTAAATAAATTCAAAAATACCCCCAAAATAAAAGAAAACACCATAAATGGATAGACAAAACTTTATCGAAGACAGTGATATAACATTTATAATAAATAAAAAATTAGGTTCACACTTGAGTCCTCTATGCCCACATTTGTCCACAATTACAGGATTAAGGGCTATAAAGTGAATACGGTTTGAGGGCTACGAGTAGTGTGTAGTTTAATGGAGTATTCCCAATTTATATCATTAAAATCCATTTGAAGATGAATCCACTTTTTGCAACCATATACCATCAACGGTTACCTGGGTCATGCTAACCAACGTATGATATGTCATTTCCTATTGAAGTATTTCATTAAATTATAGTATTTCTCAGGACTATAGTTCTTCACTTTCTTTCAAAGAGTTGAGGAATGCAAAATGAGGCTGTTGTTGAAATATAGATCTATAAATGAATGTGGATTGCAGCTCAGATCATTCAGGCTTCAGAGAATCTGATGAGAAATTCATGAGTTCATATAGAGTTCGTAGGCTTTTGTGTCTTGGTGGATTTGAGCAGTTTGTGATCTCTCCTGCAACTCGAGAGATGATGCATGAGGAAGGAGTAAACACGAGCCGTTTCGTCTCATTACTGTCTACGAACAGTCTTACTGTACAATTTGTTTATGATTGGTTGTGACACCCAAGAAGTGACTCTTTCTAAAGCATGATGAGCAGACGAGTAAATAATCTTGTGTAGTTTTCTTAATCATTTGACACTATTTGTAGTTTGAGTTCCTCTTACGTTCTTCAGTGTTTATTCCTAGAAAGTAAAACCCTTATGTGTGTGATTGGAGCTAAAACATCTTGTAATATAAACATTTTCTAAAGCCCCATTTATTTTTTTCACTGAACATTTGTTGACTTAATAACTTGGTACTTTAATAAAGACTAAATGTGTTTTTGAATACATATTTTGTCTTTATTAAAGTGCCAAGTTATTAAAGGAGTAGTTCACTTTAAAAAAAAAAAAAAATGTTGATAATTTACTCACCCCCATGTCATCCAAGATGTCCATGTCTTTCTTTCTTCAGTCGAAAACAAATTGAGGTTTTTGATGAAAACGTTACGATGAATAAGGGTCTTATCAAGCGAAACGTTCGCTCATTTAATAAATAAATAACAAAGTTTAAGTTTTATAAGCTCAAATGCTCGCCTTGCTGTTCTTTGATGTGACTCTCCTGTTCGAACTCGTTCATCAAAACGAACAAATCTTTTTCCGAGTCATTTGGTTCATTCAACGAACGAAACAAACAAATTGACTCGGAAAAAGATTTGTTCATTTTGATGAACGAGTTCAAACAGGAGAGTCACATCACAGAACAGAGTAAGGCGACCATTTGAGCTTATAAAACTTAAACTTTGTTATTTATTTATTAGATGAGCGATCGTTTCACTTGATAAGACCCTTATTCATCGTCTGGAATCGTTTAAAAGCCCTTTGAACAGTTTGCACTGTAACTGTCTTTTGGACCTTGAACCGTTTGGTTCCCATTGAAGTCCATTATATGGAGAAAAATCCAGGAATGTTTTCATCAAAAACCTTAATTTCTTTTCGACTGAAGAAAGAAAGACATGGACATCTTGGATGACTCGGGGGTGAGTAAATTATCAGTAAAAGTTTTTTGAAAAGTGAACTACTCCTTTAAGTAGAATCTGAAGAGGAATATTGTTCAATACCGTTGGATAAATTGTTCAATACCGTTGGATTGCCATCGGTATTAATGAGATCATGGAGTGTATTGTGGATTGCTGCGCTTAAATAACCACCAGTTGCTCATTAGCTTAATTACTGTACCTCAGGTAGAGCATCAGGATAAACATTATCGGGACATCAGCTTTTATGCCATTTCAGTGTAGTCAGTGTAAATTTGTCGGGCACGGTGAAGAAAAGAGAGATGGAATAGTTGTGGCACTTTATTAGTGAGTGAATAAACCCAAAGTCTCTGAAAGTTCCCTGAGAAACAAACTCTGTAGAAGGTCATTTCTTTATTTATGAGCTGCTGTGATGTGATGGATGGATGCGATGCTGGGAACGGCAGACGGGTCCCTCTAGAAGTCCAGGGTGTTCGGTGTTATCTCCATATCTGATGTTTTGCAGTGTTTACGTGCTGGTGCTGTAACCGTATTGAATGTCATTGTGGCGTCGTGGATGGCTGTTGGTTTAGTCACACAGCTTCTTGTCAAAAAATGTTAGTCTGTGCTGCCTCTGAAAGACTGACTAATGAAATTTGTCCCCGTCACCCCAACCCCTGGACATCCGCTGTGCTTCAACACTAACGCATCGCAAAGTCATTTTCCTAAGAGCTTGAGCAGGCAGAGATGCTGCGATCCGATTGGCCGTCGGATTAGAGGTCAGAGGTTAATCCTCCACAGCGCTGGATGAGGGAGTTTGCGTTCAGTTCACCTCTTCTCGAGGTCACGCGTCCATCTGTCTCTATCTTCACTTGACATCCTCTGCGAACTACCTGTCTGTACTTTCTGCTTCCATTAAGGGCAACTAACACAATTTTATGATCTATATTTTTTAAGAAAAAGTACAAAAGTAGAAGTTATATATGAACATGATGTGTGTGCGTGGGTGGGTGCGTTTGTGTGTGCTTTATGTATTTTATTATGCGTAATAATACAATGTAGTAAGCTTATACATTAGTGGAAAGAATAAAAAATACTTGTTTTTTTACATAAATAAATAGACAAATATCTGTTTGATCATATTTCTTATGGAGACTTGGGTAACATGGTTGAATGGGTGAGCCTGATGCAAAAAATGTTAGACAGGGTACAAAAGATGTCACTTCCGGGGTGTCACAATTTTATGTTTGTTGTTTTCTTTTACAATGAGGAACATTTTGTTAAAATTAGTTATAATAATAATGAGTTTATTTTATATAGTGGCTATCTCAAGGTAACTTTACAGTACTGTAATAAAAAAAATGTTTCAGCAGACTAGAGCCCGACCGATAAAGGATTTTGAAGGCCGATACCGATACAAATTTTTGTTGGTTATAAAATCCGATATATCGGCCGATATTATTATTATTTTTTTATTTCAGAAACAAGCAAGAAAATATTATCAGATTTCCCTAACATTAGTTATTTGTAGTTAATTATGAGTTTTAACTAAAATAATATGATAGTGCATAACTGGTTCTCTCTGCCTGACTCTGGCGGGATCAGCAGGTTGCAGGATGTGTGGCGCGTTATACACGAGTGTTGCCAACAGGGACGGTGTAGAGTGCCCTCTGGTGGACAAACTATACAACTCCAGCACTCATGACATGGTTGAAGCGTGATTCGCCCGTTTTTATCGGCCATTATAACTGCCGATACCGATATTTTAGAAAATGCCTAATATCGGCCTGGCTCTACAGCAGAGAAAACATTACAGATGAACTGAGAATATAGATAACACCTGAGGTGAGTAATGCGGAAAGATTTCTTTTTATATGCGAGCGAGTCCTATTATAGATTGTTTCCTGTTGTGTTGGGTAAGCCAGAGAAAAGAGAATTGCAGTTGTCAAGCCTGAACTAGCCTCGACATCTCACCATCATTGACGTTTAAAATGGACGTTTTTTAAAAGCTATACCCAGGTTTTCAACAGTTGTGAAAGGTCAAGCCAAGATTTCAGCAATATTAACATTGAAAAATAGAAACAGGATGTAATTTAAGGTGAACCAACAAGAAGTTTTGAGTTGAAAGAGAAAATGATTTGTCATCCAAGCATTTATATCACCAATAGAAGTTAATATGAAGTTGCAGGTGGGGAAAAGAGCGTTGCGTTGAGAACGGATGTGAAGTTAGGTGTCATGTGCGTAGTAATGAAAGTTAAACCATGCATGATAACGAATAATGCTACCTAGTGGAAGCATAAAGGTCCAAGAACAGAACCCTGGGGAACACCGTATGAGACAGGAGCTGTAGTGGACGTGGTCTGGCTGATAGAGATGTAATGCAGACGCAAGTGAACCAAGATAGGTCAGTTTTAGAGATACCAAGAACATAAAATGAGAATACTGTGAGAGATCGTGAAGGTCTAGCAGAATTAATGCAAATGGAGCCTAAGTTCAACTTTTACAAATACATTTTAAAATCTAAAGTTGTGTTTGTTAACTCCTATTAATGCAGTGTGAACTTACATGAACAAACAATGATCAATCAAATTTTTACCAAGTATTGGTAACAAAGAATAATAAATACATATTTTTTTCATTGTTAGTTAGCTAATGCATTAACAAATTAGACATTATTTTAAAGTGTTACCAAAATAGGTTTATAAAATCAGTATAGTTTATTTCAACATAATTGCAATTAATAGATACAAATTAGCTACATGGGTTAATTTGTTTTTTCTTCCTGTTTAGCTATTTTTTTTTTTTTTTTTTACAATGCCTATCCCAGCATTATTCATCAAAACCCCTTGCTTCAACGATGACGATCAAAAATTGTCTTGCATTAGCAAAAGTGTACAATAAATGCTTGTGTGACAATTGCAGATTTCCACTCAGGTGTGTGTTTGATCCGTCGACTCGCCAGTGGAGCGAAGCGTTGACAAGAAACATGATTTCATGCTGTAGAGGAAATCACTTCTACTGCTGCCTCAGCATTATCAGTCAAAAACTTCAGATCTAACTTGCGATTACCACTGGTGTTCCCCAAGGCTCAGTCTTGGGCCCTCTTTTATTTATTATTTACTGTATTTACTGCCCCTTGAACAAATTTTTTTTAGGAAGTATGGTATTAATTTACTCTGCTATGCTGAAAATATCCATCTTTACCTGTCTACAGTACTTCTCTACCTGTTTTTCCTCCATTTTCTCTGTACTGCTGCTTAGCGGAAGTCAGACAGTGGCTTTATGTAAGGAACAGGCTGAAATGGAAGTCGATATTCACTGTACTTTGCCAAAATGACCATATGTAAATACATCTATAACCTAATGTTTCTCTCTCTCTCTCTTCCTCAGTGTTTAAGAACGCGGTGTGTAAGGTGTATAGGTTTCAGACGGTGGAGAGTAAATGGATGTTGGTGCGGGAACAGATGGCGGAGTGCACACTGTCCTTCAGCGTCCCGAAGCAGCTCATCGCCCTCTACATTCAGGAGGACACCTGCAGGTGAGATTCAGAGCGATGCGAGGGCGGCTAGGAAACAGGACAGTGAAGGAGGCAAGCGGCACCAGAAGTTTTACACCCAAAGGAATGAGTCCTGGGTGATATATCGGGAGTTAAAGGGCCTACTGTATTAACGTTTGTTCTAGATGTTTAATGCAATGTCTTGTGTGAAGAGTCTCCTTCACTGTTAAGATGACAGTGTAGTATTACTATGAAATGAATGGATTGAAAATTAGATTTATTCATGTGGCAGATCCTTAAGGGAATGGGAGTTTTTCTTCAAAATTAATATATATAACCTTGTATTAAAATGCTAAGGTAATGCAAGATTAAAAATAGTTTTGAAAGACATAGTAGAGCACACATTTTTCCTTGACCGTGTTGAAAAATGTCCATCACGTCATATTACATGTTTTCTCTCAAAAACGACTCGAGAAGCCGTTAATAAAACCTTAATAAAGAGAATTTAGTTCCTAAATTATTTTTTCTATACTGTACATTGACTCACTGGGTACTCCAATACCCTTTAACCAACATCTAACAACTAACATCATTTAGTTTTCTGAGGAATATTCAAATCTACTGTATGACCTTGTGTTTCAAGCATGAACTACAGGAACTACTTGTACTTGCGTTTTAAAGGGATCCTCCACTTTTTTTGGAAATAGGCTCATTTTACCACTCCCCCAGAGTTTTACCGTTTTCAAATTCATTCAGACGATTTTCTAATATTTAGAAGAATATCAGTAACCAGACAGTTTCTGGTCTCATTGACTTCCATAGTAGGAAAAAAAATATACTATGGAAGTCAATGAGACCAGAAATGGTCTGTTAACTAATATTCTTCTAAATAACAGAAAATCGGCTGAATACATTCAAAAACGGTAAAACTCGACTGTTTAACTCTGGGGGAGTGGTAAAATGAGCCTATTTCCAAAAAAAGTGGAGGATCCCTTTAATAGTGGCATTTTTATCATTTTCAGTGCATGTGTAAATTATCTGAATGTGCTACTGCAAACAACATGGCGGCTGAAATGCATTGTCTCGTACGATCCCTGGTGATTCCCACTCCTAGAAGAACGGGTTGAAGTGAAGGTTGGGCGACACAAAAGGCAGTAGGAGTGAGATGCCGTGTGCTTGTCGAGCCAGGCTTTATTTCAGAGATGGAAATGGCTGTTTTAGAGCTATACTTAGCCTGCACTAAATTATTCAAGGATGTTTAACACTTCAAAGGAGAGCGCCTGTCCTCTCCCTCTTGCTTTTCTTTCATTTTACCTTTGCTTTCTCTCCTCCCTCCGTCTCATTGTGGGAGCGTTGTTACCTGAGCGTTAAAGAGAAAACCTAAAAGGGAATGGAGCCGCGTGGAATCGCGAGGTGAAAAGAACGAGGGCACGTTGCGGGAAACCTTCAGCGAAAAGGTTTTTTTAAAGCACAGCAGTCAATAATACACTCCGACACACATGTGAACGCTGTTCCTATGCAGTTCAATCAGATGAATGTGTGATTATACACCTTGATGAAAGTCTGTGGAAGAAAGAGGAATCAGAGTGTCGTTGCATGTCACATCAATGCAAGAGATGTTTTCCCATTTGTTCTGATTTTATTGACACTCGATGATAGGAAGTGACATGAGTCATGACCACCACAGATCATCATGTCCAGGTGCGCGTGGACACGTGATCAGAACTGAATATATTTTATTCCTTTTCAAGACCGAAAGTTAGACATCAGGATACAGAATTGTAATAAAAAAATGTTTAACCAAATTCATGCGACATCTATAGTATTATATGCCATTTTTCTATATTTTGCACTGTATAATATTATTAATACATTTACCTTTTTTACTGGTTTATTACTTACTTTATATATATATTTCTATATTTAATAATTGTATTAAATATATCCATATTTTTATTTTATTTATTAATTGATTTAAATGCGAATTAATATTTTATAATTATTATATACTGTTATATTTTTATTTTTATTTATTTTATATTTTATTAAGTATAGTATTAATCATATATATACACAATGACAATCAACTCAAATAAATTATATTATTAATCACATTTTGACAAAAAACATTTTATTATTTTATATAGCAGTTTTCTTTATTCTGCAAAATATATTACCTTTTCTTTTTAATACTGTAACTGTAATTTAAAAAAATAATTTATATGAAATTTAAAAGTATTTTCATATTTTTATTCATGTAAATGTTAAAAATATTTTTAAAAGATATATGATAATATTGTGGACATTTTGTTGTACTGTATAGCAAAATAGGGGAAAAATGTTACAATTTTAATGACTGTTTATTATTTTCTATAGTGTTGGGCTGTATTTTGTGAAATCATCTAATCAGAATATATATATATATATATATATATATATATATATATAATATATATATAAATATACAAGATATTAAATATATCTCGTATATTTAAGTTCAGTAATTTCACTTAAATGATGTCATTTAAGTGAAATTACTGAACGAGCTTGATAAAAATGATCATTCTAGAAGAAAATTTCAAATGGCACTTAGAGGCTTTTGCATCTGAACTCTTCACATATATATATATATATATATATATATATATATATTTATTTATTTATATATATATATCTCAAGATTTTTGTTGGCATTTAATAAAATAAATAGGTACAATTAGTCAAAATTAATTACTGGCTAAAACTTGTGATTGTGCGATTTAATTTCAATAAATTCTGCTTCCTGTAATTGTAGTTCAACATCCTGTTGAATACGTAGCCAATTTAATTCAAAAATTCACACTTGTAAATTGAATTTGGAGTCATTTCTTTAAATTCAGATATTTGCCTATTTGGCCCTAAACCACCCGTGATCGTGTTTCTCACAGCAGAGCAACATGCTGAAAGATCCCTCTGCTTAATTTGCTCTTTGTTTCCCGCTCTCGAGTTTCAGGCTTTATGCACATGCAAAACACTTCTCAGCGTGCACCATTATCGGCAGCAACTTCCCCAAAAGTCGACAGACATTAGCATAGGCACAGTTTTCATCTACAACAAAATCATTGTAAGCCAGACCAGGGACGTGTGTGTTTGTCCATTGAAGAATCTGAGATCGTTAACTCGGCGAGGCACACATTCCCAGACTGGAGCTCCCATAGATCAGACCCTGCTAAGCAATTATCATCATGTGTGCATTATTCAGGGAGGCTATTTGGCCTCCACACCTGCGCTCTCTGCTACAGACAGGTAACTTCAGCAGCCACTGCTATCCCTAGACATCTCATTATCGGCCCGGCAACACATTCACCTTTAAGCCCGTTTCAGCTGCTTTCGTCGGCTCGGGTTTAACAA